TCTCTCTCTCTCTCTCTCTCTCTCTCTCTCTCTCTCTCTCTCTCTCTCGATCTCGATCTCGATCTATTTGTCTGTCTGTCTCTGTCTCTTTTAGTATATTTGATTTGCAACTTACAAATATATTAGCATATACTCAATCTTATAACCCCTGTATTAACTGCCCCATATCTCGATTTTTATTTAAAAAACTGCTATTATCACAAGAGCTTTCACGCATCGACTTTCATTTCTGAATTTTATACTTATACTGTCTCCTCGTAAACAAGCGATAGCAAGATTTTCTCACTCCGTTTATACGTAATCAATAGCATGCAGTAGTACATAGGAAAGAAGTGACTCTGCATGATTAACAATTCTAGTCATTTATTTACCCTCTTTTCCATCAACTATTCTATACAATTTCTCCATGCCTTATATCCTTTTGCTTATATCCTGAAAGAAGACCTGACGAGTAACGTAAACCTACCGAAAGTACTACGTTGTTTATTCACTTTTATTTGAAATTATGGTTGCCACTCACCTTTTTACTACTTCTTCTGCTTTATTTTTTTTTTTTCAGTTACACATGATGTGACTAATATAATAAAAGAATACAGTACACTATTCTGATATATAAAACTATGATGAAAACTATCTAGCAATGTATAATATAAAAGAATAATAATAGAGTAAATAATGAGTTTTATTTTTACAATAAATATTTATACGTTCAATTAAATATATTAAAATTTCAAACCTTTGAATGTGTACAATTATTATAAACATGTAGATAGATATCATCATTCTATCATGGCAATCAATTCTTAATTTGCAAGGTACTTATGTTAAAATTATTAATTATTCTTAATGCAATGTTGGATTGTGTGGGTATACTCACATTCTATGATTACATTTATTAGATAAATATTTTTCTTTGTTATTAATCTATCTTATATAAAAAGGAGAAATTATATTATAAAAAATAAAAGAAAATTTAATTTTCTTTGCAGTTTAGTTATGTATAAAGATTTTCGACATTCGATATATTGATTAAATATAGGTCAGTATAAACTAATATAACTTCGCTCGTTATATGCATTACGCTCTATATAACCTTGATTTATTTTATTAATATAATGGCTTCTTTCATAAAATAAAGTGAAATAAAAAATATTTATAGGAAGGGGCTTACTACTTAACGTCGGTTTTTAGCGTTAAATATTATTTATGTTCTATTTTATAAAATTATATACACATTTTCTTATGAAAAAACCTTAAAAAATAATATATATAAAAGTAATGATTAAAAATTATAAAGAAAATATCTTACTCTTTGCACTGGACTAAGATATTTGGGATTTAATGTTGAATTTAAAAAAAAATTATAAAAATTTGTTATTAATTTGATTTTAGCTTTTTCGAAAGCGATTATTATCTATAGTCAGTAATATACATATAACTATAACGTTATTTAATGCTCCATTAGCTGATTAATTATTATCTAATTATCATTTGAGTTTTAACTGTCGATTCTCACAGATTTTTAAACAGACATCACGGGATAAGAAAACATAGACCTTAAAAATCTGCTAAAATATGAAATATGACATAGCATTCATATAAACGGTGATTCAAAAGTACGCAGCGTAAGAGTGTTTGTCCGCTTGATTTTTGATCCTTACGCTGATATCCATGAGACATTGCACCCACCAACTGAACGTTCAAATGTCTTGAAAAAACTTCCTACTCTCTCTTGTACTCCGACCCGTAGCATCGCGTAACAAAACTTCCTTAACCAGAGCACGCGTGCTTGAATGGGATTTAATTCGAGCTTTCACTCTTTTAAGTACTCCAAGTGTAATTTCAATGGTCTTGAGTGGATTTTGAATTTACTATTACGACAATGTTTCAATTAATAGTAAAGCATTTAGTGCCAATTAATTCAATTAACCGGCGAATTATAAGAATTTAAAGACAAACGCTTATTTATAGTTGGGCTTAGAATTTCTAACACGTTCTGAAGTTGGAGGTATTAATCGCTGGATAAACGTCTTAAAATGAAAAGTTTGTTTATATCGCCGGATGCTGCTTCTAATATATCATCTAAATATCTATATATAAATATATATAAATATAAACATAAATATCTAGAGTCTAACAGTGTATGAAGTAACTACTCTAACGTTTTCGCTTATTTTTGTTTTTTTTTTTTTTTTTTTTTTTTTTTTAAATATATTTTTTTTGTCATAAGCAACGATATAATTTATGAAATTTCTAATAAATATATGTAACTTTAATGTTGCTTTGACAATTCGCAATGCAGAATGATATTGAAAAATGTTGAATTTGCTCGTATTCCAGTTTAATAATGCATGAAATATTAAGTAAACATATTAAAGGAACGTCCTGCCTCTCGATTAAATTAAACTTTAATAATCTAACAAATAATTAAGAATTGTCGAGTGAATATTACTCGATCGTTGGATTAATTAATAGCTATCGTTGGATCGTTAAAGATGAGGCTTAAGTAAGGTTGCTGAAAAATTTCTCAAATACTTGACATTATGTGCAAAAGATATTCGTAAACCTTTCGTACAAAACGTATAACTTAAAGTTCACACTTCCCGACAATCGCATACGTATTCCTTAGGCGCGCATTCATTATATATCAAATAGGCTACTGACTTTCTTTAAGAGCAAAAAGCCTACAATGATAATTCATCTTTATCTTAAATCGTAAATCTTGCACTTGCTTAAGTAAATTATTTGGCGGGCAGCGCGGAACGGTAAAAGGGTCGGAGTGGAAAAAGCGATCAGAGCACGAATCAGAAGACACAGCTTTCCTCGCGAGGATCGCATCCCGCGTGCAATCGTCCTCAAGAGAGACGGAGGTATCGTCGCGAACTCTCCCGTGTATATAGAGAAGGAGAGACTCGCGTCGTGACGAGGACGGAGAAAAGGAGAAGATCGTCCCGTACGACTTGCCCTCTCGAGAGAGGAGCTGTGCGCTCGCCACTCGCAATCCTCTCGTGATCCTCGATGCGGCGGCTCTCTCGCAACGGCAGTCCGCCAAGGAAAAGGAGAGTAAGAAGGGAGGAGTTGCCCTCCTGCGCCACCTCTTCCTCCCCCTCCCATCTCGACCCCTCCGACCCACGCGCGAGCGCACGCGGCGAGCGAAGGACCATCTTATTAGTCCCACGCTATATAAACACTGGGAGACGGCATGGCGAACAGTCAGCCTGCGACTTTATCCGCCGTCGGGACGGCACTTTGTATGCGTGCGAACAGGTACATACACGCCGACCAATTCCGTATACCAAAGTGCAACTACCTCACATGTGATTATACGGCATTCTACGACACTCTCCATTCACGCTCACTTCAGCGCCAAAAATCTTTTCTTACCTCTGCTTTTAACTTTTTCGTCCACGGTCTTTGGATGTTTGGCATTGGTTAATTATTAAGACGGTTTTAAGACGCTTTTAAGACGATATTTTTTAAATCGGTGCACCGAGTCAGTACTTGTATATGTGGTTATAGCAAATGCTTCGGCAAATGGCAATATTTTGGACTATTGATGGAAACGCGGCTGTGTGAATTTTTGTGAGCTACTTGAGGAAAGGAAGGGGCTGGCTGCACTGAGATAAACAATTGCACCACTCACATCCTTTCGGCGATGTGAATTCTTTTCCCCCTCGCTATTACTACTAAGCCCCGTTGGATTCCATTTTTCTCAAATATTCTCAAATTCATAAAGTCGTAACAACTTTAATATGAACGGATGATTTAATTTTGACGTTATTTTCGCGACATTACGTGGAAAATGTTTGACATTATATTCTACAATCATTTGCACAAAATTAATGCGATTACCGAACGAAAGCTTTTTTCTTTAAAGATTTAAAGATAGAGTTTTTCACAATTAATAAAATTAACTATTTCACATACAATAATTGATATCTACAGTACAAACATACTTACTCGCGTACATATATATAATTTTTTTTTTTTTTTTTTAAGTATGTAACAATAGCATCAACATTCTAAATATTGTCACGAGTGTACGAAGGAGCAAAATTATTTCCTTTCTTCGTTTCGTCACGTAAGAATTCAACAAAAATTTCCACAAAAACGTTCTCAAGTATGATCTATTCAATTTTTTGGAAATCAATAATTTGTATTGAATGACTATATTATTTTATCATATTTTTCAAAATTTTGGTCTTATTATTATTTATTTATTTATTTATTTATTTATTTTTTTTTTTTTTTTTTATTATTATAGCCTTATTATAACATAAAATTTACTTGTATAAATTTAAAATACTTTGTGACAACAATTACAACACATGTTGCATATTATTATACATTATTTACAATTAAAATACTTTAGAAAGTAATAAATTAGAAAGAAAACCAAAAAAAAAAGAAAGAAAAAAAAGATCGTCAGCATAAAGTAAATGTGTCAAGTCTTGAGGTAAACTTCTACGTTTAATTACTTGTATCGACGAGAATTACTTTTTATATAACATTAAACTCAAATCATTATACTTAATTATGATTGTAGATATAATAGCCAAACATCTTGCAAACAAAAAGTGTAATGTTTCATCACTATTGATATAAAAACAGCCAAAGACCGATCAAACATTCACAACCTGAGTTCGATATGATATTCATAAAAGAACCGACACGTAATTACAAATCTAATCAAACTTACTGAAAAGCAAATTAAACTTAGTTAGAAATTAGTAACATCGTGATTACTAACATAAGAAATTTTTTCTAAAAATAAATCAGCAGAAAGATCGTTAAAGAGAAAGTAGAAGCTTCGCCAAATTTACGGATTCTGTTTGCCGCGGAGGGCTCGTTCAAGCCTCGCGTCTTTCGCTCTTCGTCATCGAGAGGGAGATCGACAACATTGACGGATAATAAACCATCGTCATGCTTCTAAGCGCCTCACAAGCTCAGGTAGAGTACAGTTGTTGTATGGTAAATGCATGTGGGCGACTGAAGAATTTAGAATGTCGAAATTTAGGTGCGAATATGACTTTTATGGGGGGAGGGGGGGTTGGTTGGTTGGTTGGTTGGTTGGTTGGTTGGACAATTTAATAAATGCATATTAATAACTAATGACTAATCTAATGACTAACAATGTACTCGAGAACTTGTGACAATTAATTTTTTTTAACATAGTTTTGCGAGATACGATGGAAAATTTCAATGTAAATTATAGATTATACAAACTCATAGAAGTAACAGTTTTTGTTGTTTTTTTATCGTAATTAATTAATAACGCATTATAAATAACAATTACTTAACAATTATAAAAGCTCATAAAGAATTAAATTACAAAGCGATAAATAAATTAGAAGTGCAATTCAAAATCTTAACAGAAACTCAAGAATATTAATATACAATGGTTTTTATCAAATTTATCGTAATAAATTGAAGAACTAAAATTTTTAATTAATTGTTCATTTTGCTTTTATATTAATTATTGTTGCCATTTTTTTCATTATTTAGAGTATAATTTTTCTCAATATATATTTTACAAAATGCTTTCAATTGTATATGCACATTAGAAAATAAAGATGATAATAAAATTTTAATGCCTCAAATTAAAGTAACGTCATTTATAATACATAACATTAATTTTTTATACAAATTGCAAAGTAATCATATATTATACTAATTAATGATTTGTATTAATTATTCTTTACACATTTATTCTTATTGATCATCTAAAAACAGCTTTCCCGTAAGATTGTTACTTTCCAATGAAAAAAAAAAAAAATAAAAAATAAACCGTAAATATAATTACGTACAGATATTTTTAAATTATTAATCCTAATATGAAACTACATAGTGAAAGCTAATGCGAATCATAGTCATAAACTTAAACATTTATAGGGTTAAAATCTCATTAAAAACTTGACCCATATTGGCCCATGGCCCACTAAACTTTTTCTCTATCTATCTTTCATCTATATTATCTCAATCTTGTACAACAAGTTTATTCGGCTCATAACACTGTCGAATTATTGTATATAATTTTTAATAAATAATTAAATTTTTAATAATTAACCTTTATAAAATCAATCGTTTATAAACTTTAAAGTCTAAGATTTTTGTCCATCAATGACGAGGGTGAATTTTAAAAGAATATGTGATGGAGCGAATTACTAGTTGAGATGATTAAAATAATTAATTATAACAAAATTTTAAGTCTACAATGAGAATCTCTTACAATGTAGAGTTTTATAATTTAAGAGGTTCGAAAGGTTCATTTCTCAAAATTTATAAAGGCCATCATAAAAACTGTTAGCAAGATCGTTATAAATTGTATAAAAAATATTTATTTAATACAATAATCAAGTTCAATATAATAAGTCTTCTAAATTATTGAAATAAATGCATTTATGTATTATATGTGTTATATTACGTTTAAATTGCGCTTCACCCAGATAAGAAAAATGTATCTAATTAAATGAAAAATTACATTCCATATTGGCAGATGCATACAATGGTTTATTTAAACTCTTCTCAAGATTGAAAAATACAAATAAATATTTCTACACTTTATAAAACTTAAGGAGAGTTATATATTATGTGATATTTATTATACTTTATCGCTTTTTAATAATTCATAATTCTTTTTGGTTTTTTAAATTAATTTCAATAAAATATTCAATAATTCTTATATTTCATGTATATCTATTGGTAATATATGATAATATATTTTAATTATTTATTATAACTAAATATTAAACTTTGTATGCATGAAAACTCTCTTGAGAACATATTCTCTTTGCATTTATTGTCTATACATGTATTTTATTTACTCCAATAGTTTCATTTTGTAATTCTCTCTCTCTCTCTCTCTCTCTCTCTCTCTCTCTCTCTCTCTCTGGTTTATGCTCCGTATATATTTACGTACTTTGAATACATATTTTCAATCTCGATAGAGCAAACAAGGGGCTAAATGTAGAAAGTTTTTATTAAATATTATATTTAATTGCATATTTTTGAATATTATATTGATTTTTAAAAATTTAGAATATACAATAATAGGTTTCTATTTTTTTTTTTTTTTTTTTTTTTTTTTGGTTATGGATTATAAAAGAAATGTAGCTGCTTAATGTTTTGTTAGAAAACACATGACTACTCGAATCCGTAATTTAAAATGAACTTGCATTATAAATCCATTATATTGATAATATACTTATACATAATAAAATATGCCTCATAAAGAAATATATTAAAAGTTTTAAAAGTTTTTGAAATAATAAAATTAGTTAAATAAAACAAAATTATTCTTAAAAGTCACAAGTCAAAAATAAAAACGATCTTATAATTAAATTCATTTATGCTACTTCTAAATACCATTCGTTCTGTAATACTCGTATCACTATATATTACAAACTCATTATTAATAGTTATTAGTAAGACAATAATTTATGAAGCAAATTACAAATTATAATAATTAGTAAATTTTTAAATAAGTATTGAAAAATAAATTTCTCAAAAATTGACTAATTTAATATTTAGATATATCAATGGGAAGATATGATTTTGATATTAAATAGGATTCCTTCCGATATTTATTATTTTATAAATTTTAAAAACTTTTTAAAAAGTATTTTATTATTAGTAAGTTAATTATTAAAATTTTAGCAAGGCTAATTTGGCGTACGAAAATCGACAAATACACTTAAAACCTTACACAATTGAAAAATTATAATGATTAATAATTTTTTTCTTATTTATTGAATAATATATAAAAAATTTAAAACAATGCTCGCATATAAAGCGGGAAAACAACGTTAATTTTTGCACACATTTACATATTCGTGTTATAGCAATTTGTATAGTAGTATTTCGTTAGTGTACTATTTCTCTACCATTTTCACTATACAAGGATGCACATACTTATCTAATTGCAGAGAAAGAGTAAATTATTTCTGAATTACACCTATATAATTATATAAATAAAAAAGCTTATTCTTACAATGTTATAAAAGTACGAAGTCTACTTAATTTTCTCCTACATAGCATAGATTTTTATATGTGTTATTTAAATTTTATCGATTGTTATGAACTTGTTGAATAATTTCACGATGCAAAATATTAATACATAATATTAATTCTGTATTTTAATAAATGCCATTTATATTACATATCTATGGATCTCATATATATATATATATATATATATATATATATATATATTTAGATGATATTCGTCACGTACAAGGATAGCTTGTACACACAATAGACACGTATAAAATATTGACTGAAATTCGCCACCCGAGTATGAAAGTACTGATACGAGCACTGGCAATGGAGGATAAACATAAGAAAATGAGAAATGAAAATAATTGCAGGAGGGGGTGCTAGAGAAATAAAAGAGATAGAACAAGATCGTTGCATATGCCTGCTTACACGTATATGTGTGCGGCCCTACTTCCAGATGTGTATACAACATGTATGTGCATAGACACGTGCATATGTATATGCTATAAAGGTGATAGCAGTGCATTGGAGTAAGCAAACGTGCGCGAGTCGCGTGACAAAGCAGTTACGTGTGTATACTCTACGTACGTAGCTCGACAAATGAAACTGTCGCCGTTCGCTTGAATAATCGCTCTCTCGTTGCCGGTATAAATTACGGCATTTCAGATCCTTTTGCGTTAACGCAACCTGTATGTACACGAGCGAGCGCGCGCACACTCGCGCGCGCACACACACACACACCCACACCCACACGAGATAGTGAAGGAGAGAGAGAGAGAGAGAGAGAGAGAGAGAGAGAGAGAGGCGGATGCACACATATAAACAGCTCATCGAAATATTAAAGCGGAAAAGATAAAATAGAATAATAACAGGTCTTGCATGGGAAAATATCAAGGAGATTTGAGACGTTTAATTGTAATTCTTGCGCGCCCGACGATATTCGATTACGAAAATTTGAACACTTTCGTTGGAATACAATTCAATGGATAATTAATACAACTCATTTAAAAACAATAATGTCAATTATCCGTCATTTTATGTAGCCGCTTGGAAGTTGAATAAAAATCCTCGAGTCTAAGAATTAGGAATTTCTTAAATAAATAATTTAATAGTCGTAATAATAACAATTTTTTTAAATAATTCGCATTGAATAAGAGCAATAAATTGTAATTATTAAAGTTACGTTGGAATGTTTGCAGTTGCTATTATATTAAATAAATTAACAAGTTTTTAAGTGAATTCTTACTTTTAATAATGATAAAGTCACGTTAATTGACTATAAAACATATTTTATGAATTAAAAAGCAAAATTTTAAAACGTTTATAATATCATCAGATTATAATTTACAGAAAATCTTGCAAGACATAATAAAATAACATGATCAATTGCCATTTCAACTTTTCAAGCGATATAATTGAAAAAAATTTTATTAATAATATAACTTTAAAAGCACATTGAAAGTTAACATAATTTATAAAATAGAAATATCTAAAATATTTCAAATTATTAAAGACAAAAAAAAAATTACCTTTACGACTAAAAGAATCTTGAAACATACAAACATTGCGATCAAAAACTTCTAATTTTTTTAATCCTTTTAAATTTATTCATCGTATAATCAATATTTTATTTAGTCTTTATTACTTTTATTTTACAATAAATTAAATGTTTCTACAAATAAACATTAATGGTATTTCAGTAGCGAAGAAAATAATATGATACAGATTTAAATGCTGATTTGCAAAAATTATCGATTTTAAGAGAAATCTTAACTCTATATTTAAAAAGTGATATTAAAATTCTCTAATGAATATTATAATAATAAAAATTATATGTAGAATATATAATAAATTGTAGTGTAGGTTTGTACGTTCAATAGAAATAATTGTTAACAGCAGAATTCTATTCATATTCAAAGTAGATTTAAATTAGTATTAATAATATTACCAAAATT